GATAAAATTATGTAAGTCAAAAATCAGGCTCCTCTGATCAGTGAACTTTGAGCCAAGATTTCCAACAATATCAGCTCCCCATGCATGCTTAACCTGGATCCAAATGACAGTACCAGATGGTATATAGAACAGCAAAATCCCATCTTATATCAAAGCCATAATGCTCACCTCTCCAAACGGAGTGTAGAACTGCACCACATTGAACTCTTTCTCCATTGCACCTCGAAGGGAACCGGCCACTGCCAGCACACTGCCACAGTGGTTCCACTGGATACTGACCACATTCATCAGAGTATCAATGCACACTGGGTCTGAAGAAAAGGGGTAAGAGGACCGAAAAAAGAACTGTAAAAAGGTTTAATTTAACACGAGTGACGAAATTTGAAATTAAATTTTGTTTTTGTGGCTTACTTTCATCGCTTTCATAACGCATGATCTGACACCTTCCATTGTCAAAACAGATGGCGAGACATGGACAATCCGGCTCGACGTAACCCCCGCTTCCTGCATACCAGTGGATACCTGCTATACTGACAGCTCCAGTCACATTGACAAGACAGCTGATGGTCATTTTCATCTGAAAGCCAACACAAGTCAATAAGAGTTAGCATATATCCTTCTTCTGCTTGAGTCACAGTGAAGTAAAATAAAAAAAATAAATATTATAGTTGCATTATTTAATACTTTTATATGCACTTGTTTTATATCGAGTCTCAGCTGGCTTTCATGTTTATTTATGGTCATGCTAGTTTCTGTCATACTTTATCACAGTGGAATAGAGGCGGAGATGGGGATGGAAACAATTAAGGTAGCTAGAAAACTAGAGTTTATGACAATTCATTAACTTGCTCAACTATAAGGAACTATAACTATAAGAAAAAACAGCATTATGTTCAACTCTGAATCATGCAAAGCTATTCTAGTAGCATACAGAATTAACTGTTTTTAAGCTTACAAACTTACTATGAAGTTTCCTTGATTGTCATAGATGTGTACTTCACCATTTGCCATGCCGAAGAGGAGTATCTTGCTGTCCGGCGACCATGCCACATGAGCAAGCTGGCTTCCCTTTAGCTCCTTACCCCAAATCCGATTTCCTTAAGAGATGAGGATATATAATAAAGGATATATTCATATTTACATACTCAGAAAATTCCACAAATATTATTTTTGTTAAGTAAGCAGCAGTTTACCATCTACAGATCCAACGATGACAGCCCCATCTTCATACACAATACAGATCTTTTGACCATCTGCATTCCAGCTCATGCTCCTCACTACTGACTTGTTCCTGTTGTTGATCATCTCTTCATACCATGCACCTTAATAGACCAAAAAAAAAATGTTAAAGACATGTTTTTTTGTTTTTTTTTTACCTGTTTCTGTATTTTGCCTGCATGCAGTAATGATCAAATAATGCTAATAAAGAAAAGAACTAAGGACATACTTACTCTGTCCGGCATGTGGTTACCATTGGGTCACGCTGTACCCAGACACAGAGTGAAAGTACGTAATTGAGCGTGACTGCCTGACAACTTGGGCTTGGCTCAGCGCAAAAGACGGACGACCTCATTCTCCTGTGGATCCACCACCCATAAGAGGGGGCATGGGTATCTGATGCTATGTCGACTGGGTCACACCCAAGGTCAATGTCAGGGTCAGAGGCTCTAATGGCTCGCTCCCCAATTACTAAAACTGCTTATAGGGACATTAAATCTCACCTATCTGATGAGGAAGGAACCTGAGCTACTGTATGAGTTCGAAACCAAGTGTGAACCAGATTGTGGAAGGAGCCCTATGAAGCTTGGCGAGCTTGTGGGATTCTGAAGGAAGTAACCTGGAAGACACTGGCAGGATGTGGGCTGTGAGATCAACTTTCAACGCATACGGATCAGTATTTAAAGTTTTACTCTCATCATCCACTGGAGCACAAACTGGGTGTCATCAGGACACTACAACAGAGATACAGCGGCCAGAGAAGCAGAAGAACATCATATCAAGAGGGCCCTGAGTAAATGTGCTTATCCCAGCTGGATATTTGTCAAAGCTGGGAAGGAACCTAAAGAAAGCTCCGAGCAATCCAGGAGAGAAAAAAGACAACTGCTGCCCAATCGAAAACCTTTAGTGATCTCTTATGTGTCTGGAGTATCGGAACAGCTGAGACACGTTTTCTCTAAACACCTTGTCTCTGTGGCTGTCAAAGCCCAAAACATGCTGTGCCAAAAACTGGTCCACCCCAAAGATCGGGTTCCCCGGCACAAACAGAGTAATTCAGTGTGCGCTGTAAAGTCCCAGGAGGATTGTCATGATTTAAACATCGGGGAAGCCAGACAATCTCTGGCTAAGTGGATGGCACAACACAGACGAGCTAACTCCTCAGGCCAGGACAATGATGAGGATGTACACATCCTGGACAGGGAGGAACGCTGGTTTGAGCGGGTAGTCAAGGAGACCATTTACATAAAAAGGGAAAGACCATTTCTGAATTGATGGGAGGCCCTGAGGGTGCGTCTTTCACCATCTTACAATGCTTTAATCGAAGGTACTACCCAACTCTCTGTGAATGGTACTCATGGCCACTGATCAATTGCCATTGATCAGTAGTTCATGAACGGTCACGACAATTTGCATATTAATGATCAAGAAACGGACCTCACAGTACAAGCTGGATGGAATAATCACCTCTATAAAGCATCCACACAATGATGAGTCCATTCTGATCACTGGTCGTCAGCTTTTCATGCTGTTCATTCCACGTGACCACTTGCACTGCACCTGCATGGGAGGCAGTTATTGAATATTAGATCATTTTCTGACGTCTCATTTTAGAATTGTGAATACTAATATCCTATAACTAAAACTGGCCAAAAAATACTTAATACAAAATAACTCACCACTGTGTCCCTCTAAAGTCTGGTTCATTGAAAGATTACTGGGTGCAGCAAGACCTTTAAGTTTAGCATCATCTGTTTACAAAGGACGGTAAAAGAGATCAGATCATCACCAAGTAACTGTAGTTCCAGAGGTGTTTATAATGGTTAGCAAATATACAATCATGTTTCCCAAAATAGGTTTGGACAAGTAAATATGAAAGTAATGATTTAAAAATCATGCAAAAAGATCTACGAAGACAATAAGACATAAGATGCTGAAACTGATCAAATTTTGTTTGTTTTTTTCTCTCTTTTTTTTTTTTTACTTGCAACCTGTTTAGGATATACCTAGTCTCTTGCCCTGTGAAAGTTGGTGTAGGTACACCAACTGACCCTGAATTGGATAATAAAATCACAATATTATGCAATAAATGTCCAAAGGTATAAATTAATAAAGAAAAATAAAACATAATTTAATAAAAGGGCTTATAAAATGCAGCAGACAAAAAAAACACTAATTTCATCAATCATTTCACACATTTTCTCAAACATTAAGAAACAGTGGCCCTAACTAACAACAGCAGGTTGACTGAACATAGCGGCACAAGAGCTGAGCCAACAGTATTATGAAAGTGTAAAACGATTTCCAAGACGCTTTAAGAGCATTTCAAAATACCTTAAATCCGAATCACATTTGCATTACATAACAACTTGGACTGTAACAAATGCACACAGCTGAATGTATGGGATGTTATTCGTCATTGCGACAATGTGATATCAATATACTGTAATGCTACCAGTGACAAGCAGGTTGTTTATGCAAAATAGCTCTTAGGTACACCCATTAGGTAAACCTATTCAACTATCATTTACCATAAACATATCATCAACCAATTAGACGGCAGCATCAATTAGTCAATTTAGTCACGTAGACATGGTCAAGACAAACTGATGAAGGATGAATGGAACACTAAAATGGAAAAGAAAGATGATTAAAGCTCCTTTGAGTGTGCCATGTTTTACTGAGACCCTGTAAAGCCAATCAAAAGGTGGGATGCTGTTTAAATTTTTAGTTTTGGAGGATAATCTTACATTAATTACCTTGCAGTCGCACATTAAAAAAAGAGGACACCTGGTCATCCTAGTTGCACGTGTTTATAGTTGTTAACGTTAACGCAAATCATTGTTTATTCTTTCTCTAACCATCAAAGGGTTTCTCTGAGGTGCAGGAAATCCTTCTGTGTGCATGCCTCTGTTAGTCGTGCACCTTTTTAACTATCTTACCTGTCTGAGTCTCCAGCTTCAGTACTCTCAGAAGACCATCGTCTCCTCCGCAAGCGATGAAGCCTTGATCTTTGTTCCAAGACACACATTTTAGATGGATATTATTGGGAATAGCGATCTACAAGACACGGGAGATAACTGTTACCCAACACTACGTCCTCCTGGCGTACTTGTGGCCAGTGAGCTGTGTCAGATAACTGCGAACTTACCTTTTTGCTGAGGTATATAAACATGGTTGTGGCGATAATGTTACATTACACAAATAACAGACACATTGAAATTTCCAGGCTCCAGCATTTGGTGAATGTGACGATTACTTTAGCATAGATTGCTGACTTAGCTAGTTAGCGGCTAGTGTTAAGTGGCCAATGGTAAACTGTTACCGTCAGCTAGAGACGTTCATAAAATCATGACTCACAAATTTAAAGATTCCCTGCAGATAAAGTACGTTAAATCAGCAAATATATTGGAAAACAGTTCAAAATCGATGTTTCGTAGCTAATGGTGGCTGCCTTGGGTGCTCAGAGCCTGTAGCTTCCCTCGGTCTCCCGTGGTAACGGTAAATCGGAAACTGGGAGACTCGGTGCTCCCTGGTAGTTGTAGTTTTTTTATTAGCTGAGGCGAAAGGCATTGGACAGCGCTTCCAGTCATGTTTGGTAATGTATTTTCTCATGTGCCCAAAAGATTATTCAAATACATTTAAATATTTAAGTTATTACATATTAAAAGACAAAAATATAACATTTCCTGATCATAGACTGTCTGATAAAGATTATTATCAGACAGTTAAAGTGTTAAAATGAATGATAAATTTGTAAATAACACAATATAAGAAATTTTAAATCCTTTGTTTCAGAAAATTTATTTTTCATTTGTCACTAAATACCCTTTACAAAATCAATATACAGACAGTTAAGTACGAATATACATTATGTCATGCATATGGTCGTCTATTTAAACAGCACATGTATATAGAGTAAGTCAGGTTTTTAAAACTTTTCACGAAAACAGACTTTCATGGCCAAGTGTGCAAAGTACTGGAAGAGTTGGTAATACTTAAACTCTTTGAACTACTTTCCATCTCCTTCAAACAAAATAGTAATTACTAATCACATTTGTGCAAGCAAAACAATAATTATAATCATAATAAAAAGGTTATCAAACAATCCAGGTATCAAAGGGAGGGGTATAATAAATCGTTGTGATGTAACATGCCATAAGCCTGTTGAATCAGCCTTCATTTTTGGTCTTTTTTAGAATGCTGCAATCTGACGGACAACTATAAAACTCTTGTTACATAAGAGATTAGCTTATATTTTTCTGCTATGGAGGCTTAGTGTTCTGCCAAGAGCTACACTGCACGGACATAGAAAAGCTCTCAAAGTAGCGTATGCACAATAGGAAAGTAATAGGCTGTCTACTCAATAAACAACAATTATAGAAGCAGAGCTGTTTAGTTGACTACATGTTGATAAACAAGTTGTCATCCATATTTGAATAGGAACCCAGGTATATGTAAACATGTACACCAGTTTTACCTGACTTTACAGCAAGAAGTAAAAACAGATTGGGCAGCAAATTAAAAAAAATAATCATATTTAATATGACAAAAATCAAAACCACGCACACTTTCACTGAAATGTTAACATTCCAGTTTACAGATGTTTACAGGTTGACTCCCATGGGTCGTGAAGCTGGATGTAATGCATGCCCTGCACTTGTCCTCTGATGGTATTGATGCTCTTAATATTGCTGGTGGCTTTCAATCTGATTCACTTTGTCTGAGAGTTCATCGAGTGAGACACAGAGTCAAAGAAAAAGCAAGTTTTGACTTAACCTTGAAGTGACTGAGTGTGCTCTTTTGCATGGAAACATAATCCGTTTACATGAGAAGACAAAGTTTGTCCTGTTTTTATGAATTAACAACAAATCTTGTTCGAGATTTGAATACTCAGTTTCATGGGAGCAACATTAGCCTCCCTACTTTGTTTAGATTTGAAACACTGGGAGATCCTTGTGTCTTTGAGTAGAACTTTTGAGTAGAACTGATGGTACTGTTTTTTATCATTTCTGGAAGAACATCAAGATATGGTACCAATCACCAGTTAGTGGAACAAGGATATGGGACAGGTGTGTGAAATATATAAATGCTTTTTTAAAATTTATTCATTTGTGTTACTGAAACAATGAAATTTTGATTTAAAATGAAGTATTTCTATAAAAAATATATCAGGATATTTAATGCCCCTGCTCAGTTTTTTCAGTTGCTAAGATAGTTTGGCTCGGGCTGAGACACAAAGTAAAACAGATATTTCTTTCATGCAGTTATCACATTTTTAAGAAAAAGGATATGCTTTCTGCTCAGCTCCTGAATGGTTGATTGCACTTTTTTCTGGAACACAATCTGAGCTTCACACATGCAGGCATCCTCGGTTATTTCACTCCTCATTTCCTCTGAAAGAGTAAAATAAAATTATTGAGACAGTCCAATGATATCACAGGTGTTTTTTCATGTCTTCTCAGCTCTCCACTTGTTTAAGGATCAACAGCAGCAACCAACATGTTTTAAACCTTTCAAAGAATCAGTGCTCAATAAGTAAACTGTTTTAAAGATTAATAAATCTTATGAATCTTAGATGTTATTTTTAATAAAAAGAGTTGGTGGTTATTGATAAGATGATATGCATCAGAAGAACCAACATGATTTGTCCTTTGTGAGGGAGATCAGATCATAAACATGGATTTCATGACATATAATCAATGCTTAAAGAAATACTATTCACATGTACAACATATATGTACTACAAATAGCAATGAAAAAAAAAAGAAACAAGAAACAGTAATAACAGGTAATAACTCCAGTCAAAGATTTTTCTTTAGTTGGGCCAGAGTTCTCCATCACAAAATTTCCACTCCAGTTCCAGCATCTCATGTCATAATCTTTGCTGGACCAGCACGTGTAATGCTTGCCACTGATCTTCGTTAGCTGTAGACTTTTCCACAAAATGAAGGATGCAAAATGAAAAACACAAAACATTAATACATAGATATCATTGCAAAAAAATGTAAACTTAAATGGGAAGATTCAGTATTATAGGCTTGACCATGTTCCCAAGCAGATACAATGGAATTTATTATATCTGTATTATAGACTGTATATAAAGGATGGCATGACATGTGCTGTTACTCATGGGTTTTGACTGCTGATGTTTGATTGTTTGTTTGCTTAGGGGGTTGAGTTTTTTCTTTTTTGTTTTTTGACAAATAAAGAAGGAGGGCTGAGTTATTGGCTAATGCCATTAAGCTTGGTTAGTAGTCTACATCCATAAACTGTACAGGTCTGTACATTTCAGATTTTTCTTTATTCGTTTGGTCTGCATCACAAAGCAAGTTATATCCTTTGTAGGTTAATTCAATTAAAATGCTCCAAAAGGCACCAACAGAACAAATACAGTCAACATGTTCAGTTCTATGACTCCAATTTGCCAGAGGTGAGCCTATCAGACACCAATAGGCCATCGCTATGACCAACAAACATGAACAGCATCAATGACCAGAATTAACTGTTGGTCAGGTGGAGTCTATGTTGCCACTGCATTAGGTAAATTATCCATAAGGCATATAACAAATATCACTCATGTCAATGCTTATGTTAAATAGCAATGTCCTCCCTACCCTCAGGTAAAGTGGGTGCTCAGATAGATGTGGTAGAACCTGTGGGATTTCCAATCACTCAGACACCAGGGATCACATAATAGGTATAAATCTTTGAGCTCATCCAGATTTTTACATACAAATTCCATTTAGGAAAATAGTGAAGCCTATAGACACTGTCAGAGAATATGACTGTAAATACAAATATAATACTGGCATCTCACCTTTGAGGGCTTACCGAAACCATGTGCCACATCTCTTAGTAAAACAATATTGCATATCCACCATATCAGTTGCACATTACAGAAAACCTAGGCTTGAAGATTTATGCTGACAAAAAGGTAAAATTCTTACGGGAACATGTTTTCTGGTCTGTATTCAACACATATCCTTCTCGACACTTGCATGTGTAAGAAACACCGTTGTTGATACAAATATGCTGGCAGTCATGTCCCTGAGCGCAAGCATCTGAACCTGCAATAATATTAATTGACTTGGTTATTCTGTCAACCGCAGCTTTGTTCTCATTCTCATAATACGAGGCATGGCTTAAAAAGTTATCCACTCCCACTCAGTTGGAGAGAAATCCATTTAAATTTGGCTGACCTCCCCTGAAGATTATCTTCTTATGCACCTCTTGTCAAATGCCACTGTTAAGTTTCGGTCACTCCCGTTCTGACGACATGCCAGATTGAATTTGCACTTTCAAAACGAACCTCAAGTATGCACAGAGAGCAAACATCCAATTCTTTGTTAAACTGACCAGACTTTCATTTTGGGAATCATTACTGTTGATAAGAGCTGGCGCCTCTAAAACCTAGCTCTTATTAACAACAGCGGAGGGTCTGAAGTATCAAAACCTACAGGCTTCAGGTTAATAGTACAACCATAAGGACTTTTGTTATTTTTCTGGCATTCACAGGGACATTCACAATGCCTGCCATTGTGCCAGCATGTACCCATGCACATTGGATTAAGAAGAAGGAGCCAATTCTTGATCACCAAACAATTCTGCCAAATTAGTTCTCTGCAAATTTGTCCACTTCCTTAAAATGTTATTCGAGTTAAAGCATCTCATGCTGCTTCTAGGTGTGTTTTACAGGCACCATCCAACCAAGAGGTGATACTAGTGAAGGCCCTTACAGCCTCTTGGTTGGCTTGAAACCTAACATATGTCACAGATGGGCTGGAGGCAGACCTGAGGTGCACAAGAAGATTACTTTAAAGCAGAAACTGTACAAATGTACATTCTTATGAGCTTTTTATGAGAGGTGTCACAGAACTTTTTGATGACACATTAACATTAGGTCCCCCTGAATCATTTTTCTAGCATTATATATCATGTATAATACTTTTGTTTTGTACCTTTCTTTCCAAGCTCCTTAGACTATAATACATTTGCTCCACAATTTCTTGAATCTTTATGGCATAACAAAATATTCTAAGAAATTTAAAAACAAATCTTTCTTACGTGAGCAAGTTTTCTGATCCACGTTCAGCACATATCCCACTCGACATTTGCAGATGTATGAATTCCCACTATTAACACATATGTGCTGGCAGTCATGTCCCTGGGCACACGCATCTGAACTGGAACCTGAAAAGAAACACTCATCCCCTCAGCACCTCATGATAAAACAAATAATCAGTTGTCTGTATAAAGAATACTTGGTTAGGCCTCAATCACAAAGGCTTAGATACCAGTCAGTAGCCCACTGCCAACCACCAGTTACTATGGAAAAATGTGTGTTATCCGGCCAATTGGCAAATATTTCCTGACTGTTGCCAGATGAAATAAGAAAAAAAGATTGTGCTGCACCAAAAACCTCTTTGTGATTTGCTAGCCAACTGCCATGGTTGCCCACAGTCTGCATGAAAGATTTTGACCTGTCTGCAAACACTCCCTGTTTACTCTCCAAATTGCAGTGAAATTAGAAAATGTTAAAATCTTACTTTGAAGGAAAACAGTCTTTATTTCAAGTTTGCATCAAATCACACATCTCTATCACTTGGTGAGCAGTTTAAGATTATTTGCAGACAAGTCAATTCAATTCAGTTTTATTTATACAGCATCAAATCACAACAGGAGTCACCTCAAGTCTACTGGTGGTCACGGCAACTTGTAAGAAACTAGAGCAATCACTAAGAGGTTTTTGGTACAGCACCATATAACTCTTTGCAGCCTATTTAATACTAGAGACTACCAGCAACCTTCAGAAACCCCTCACCAACTCCTCACACGACACAGTTATCTCTAGCGAGTGGCATGTAGCAATCAGTTTCACAGTGACTGACAATCACTTGCAACTGATCAGGAATACACATTTTTTCACTTCTAACTGATGGTGTTCAGTCAGGGAAGCGCAGAGAGCTGTGTAACTCAAATCTCTTAAATCTTTCACTGAAAGAATAGAAGTAATTTCAGATCAGAACAATAGTCCATGTGTACAAGAGATGATGAGTTTTGCTACACTAAAGATGAAAAACTACACTCTGGTGAAGTACAGCAGTTTTGTGGGCATGCTTTGAAATGCTGGATCACACCACAGATACCAAACAGACATACTGAAAAGTCTTACGTGAGCATGTTTTCTGGTCTGCATTCAAAACATATCCCACGTGACATTCACAGAGATACGAATCGTCACTGTGGACACAAATGTGCTGGCAATCATGTCCTTTTGCACAAAAGTCCAACCCTGTAAAGAAACAGCTCCACATCTGACTGACTTATACTGATGACACGATCCAATCCACTTCTATTGTTAAAAACTCTCCTTTAGTTTATGAAAAACAAACATATTGAGATTTAAGTTTCTTACGTGAGCATGTTTTCTGGTCTGGATTCAATGTGTATCCCATTTTACATTTGCACATGTATGAATCACCAGTGCTGAAACAAATGTGCTGGCAGTCATGTCCCTGGGGACATGTATCTGAACCTGGAAGAAAAAAACTTTAACATCTACCTGGTTCAGTCACAGAGTTCAACAAAGCAGATTCTGAAGCAAAACCAAGACACATCTGAATTGTAAGGATCCAGGTTCTCACGTGAGCATGTTTTCTTATCTGGATTCAATACATATCCCACTCGACATTTGCAGATGTATGAGTCATCACTGTTAACACAAGTGTGCTGGCAATCATGACCGTGGGCACATGGATCAGAACCTGAAAAGAGATCACACGTGATGTGATGTTTTATATAATCAGAGCTAAGCTTTGGCCTTTTGGTGACTGGCAATTTTGCAGATCTCAATCAAATGAGAGGAAACATCAGTTCTTATGTGTGCTTCTCCTTAGTACTGGTTTCTAATATTCACCTGAGAGGCCAAAGTCTGAAGGTCGGGATAGATTTTACTTACTTCCAGACCATGTGAAATACAATGTGCTGAAAGGTTAAGGTGAGTTTTTTTAATGTCCAAACCCAAAAATCAAACTCAGCATAATTAACAACATTATTAATAAATATGAATTCTCAAAAGCAAATCAATTGATAAAAAAATCATATACTTACGTGAGCATGTTTTCTGGTCCGCATTCAGTACATATCCAACTCGACACTTGCAGGTGTACGAGTCATCACTGTTGATACAAATGTGTTGGCAGTCATTTCCCCGGGCACATGGATCTGAACCTGGAAAGAAACACACATTCACGTTGTAGTGAAAGAGTTTTCAGTTTACAAATAACAGCTAAGAAGGCTTTTCTGCACCCATTAGAGTTTGTGCCGCTCATTAATGCAGGCTTTCACCATGCCCTGCTTATTTAATTTGTGCTGAATAGTGTTTGTCCTAATCTATTTATAGCAACCCAAAACATTAGTAACAAGAGTTGGTATGCAGTGTGTGTGTCTTCTGAACAAAGTGCCCAAACCAGCTAATGTTCAAAAGGAGTTTCACAACATGTGAAATTTTGAAATAAGTTTTCCTTTCTTATCCAGATTACAGTTAAAAAATATAAGTTTTAGTTGTGTCTACTACTGTGGTAGATGGGACGCATACAGCCAAAATCCAAATTTCATATGGTTAAAAAAAATAATTTCATACATCTATCCATTTTGCTTGCTACTTATCCGCCTTAGTGTAGATGGGTGGGCTTTAACCATTTACAAAACAGATGAACAGCTCAAGATATTTTCGAAAAGTATTTCCACAATCATCCAAAATTAATGCAATACAGCATATAAATCCATCTACTTTGTCAGTGACAAAGCTCTAAAACCGACCTCTTGACTTGGATAAAATTAACAGTTCCTTAAAATGATCCATTCTTAATGACTGTTAGCACAACACAAATGCTTCCTGCACCTCCTTCTCTGCAATTTTCAGTTTTAATATCATTCAATATAAAATAAATCAAATCTGAAATAAAGTTTCAACCTACCCCCCTTAGAATCATCTTATTTTATAGGAACTTTTTCCAAATTCCTTGTAATGTGAGCACCCAGATGGGCCTGGATCAAAGAGAGTCTTGGGATCAGTGGATGATCCAAGTATGAGCCAGCAGATGAGTTCACTGTACTAAGCACAATAGTCATGGATGTTCTGCTCTCAAGTTTAGTAAATATGAGTTTATATATACTCCCAATGCCTCTGTTCATGCACAGGAAGAATATGAAAGTGAGGCAGATAAAATGCTTAAAGTATATAAGGTATAATTCACATTGTCACTGCAGATGACTTTTGTTTGGTATGTTCTTCAAATATCATCATATTTGAGGCTGTTGGATTTATTGTGATTATATTTAAAGGTTATACAAAGAAACTACAGCTAGACAATGAGCCTGGTAAATATAGAAAAATAGGAAAGAATATAGGTAAAAAATTAGATCTTTCATATACTATAACGTGGTTTGACCAGTTAGTTACCCATACCACATGGTTATAATGCCCTTGAAAGTTTACAAAAAATGCCTTTTATTAAATCTTTCCCCAGTGGATTATAAGAAAACAGATCAAACATCCAGGACACCAATGCATGTTTCTGTTGGGGGGATGGTAAAAAAAAGAAAAAAGGTTAAACAATGGATATAAATGTGAAGAAAAACATAAAGACTCTTACGTGAGCATGTTTTCTTGTCCAGGTTAAGGATGTAGCCCGGGCGACACTTACAGTTGTAAGAGTCGCCACTGTTGACACAAATATGCTGGCAGTTGTGTCCCTGAGCACATGGCTCCAAACCTGAAAAGAAACACTCCAGTGTCTGATTGGCTTAGGTCTAGTGATTCATTGAAATTAATTATTTTGTGTTGTGCATCTATGTTAGTACGCTGCAAGTATGCTTCTAGCAATCTGCATCATGCAAATTAGATTCATCTCTGTGCTTCAGCTACAGTGATGTTATAGCAAAGAGTTATTTGTGAAGAAAGAGGTGTTTTTAAATTCAAGTTTCCAGAACTTAAAAAAAGACAATTCCATGCAGTACAAGTCAAACAGATAAAATCCAAACACAAATATTTGCATATTAAAAGCATGTTAAAAGTCTTGCAAAGTTTGACATAATGTATAATGGTGCATGGCTAGCATAAGAAATAGACTTTGTTAGTTTGTGTGGAACCACAATTTGGAAGGAGAAACTAAGCTTGGCATTTTTATATCAACTGTTTTTTTAACTGAAAAACCTTGAAATTTCCACTTAAAATGATTTAACTCAAATAAAATAATTATTTTACTTTTTATGATACGTGGCTATTAATTTCATGTGAGAGGCTGCGAAGGCCATAATTGGAGAGCACCTGAGCAGGCCTGCAGGTAACTAAGCAAGGCACATGTCATGAGGCGCAAACTGCAATGCTGCACGTGAAGCGGAGCACGCTCTCTGTGAAAATAAAGACAGCATCATATCAGGTTTCAACCATTTTAAGGTATCAAAGTACTTCGAGTTTCCTCCAAGTCAGCAGATCAACCAGTGACAGGAGGTTGGTCTTCTCTTTTAAGTTGGTTAGTATAACTTGTGCGTGTTTAATTCCGGCAACATCAACACCATTCTTACTTTCTCTCCATCTGAATGGCTATAGTTAATGATGCCCTTTTTGGAGGTAAATCACTAGTTACCTTGTCCTTGTTCTAAAGAAGAGGACTGTAACTTTAGAATGGAGATTCCCTCTATGGTGCTGCCCATACAATCACAGCTGAATAAAAGAAGGATGGCTCTGACGTACCGTTGTTTCCTTTATCATCATGCTCATTTATTCTGTTACCCTCCTTCCTGCTATCTAGGCTGTAATCATCACTTCCAGGATCTACACGTTTATCCTCACTCCCATCATCATCATCTTCATCCTTACCACACAAAGTTTCCCTAAATTTTGAAGTGAGCTTCTCTATGACACCATAAGTCTCTACATAGAAGACATGGTCATCATAAGGTTGGCTGGCCATGAGTCGGAGAGACGCCACATCAGCTCTGTCTACTCCCACAGCGTAGATCTCGATTCCTGCTGTTCGTGCTGATGCTGACACTTCCTCCACCTTGTCCTGGGGCCTCCCATCTGTCACTATGATGGCCACCTTGGCGATGCTTGCAGAGCCAGCTCGGGCTCCTGCCTCCATGGTGAAAGCTTTGTCCATGGCCGTCTTAATGGCCATCCCTGTCATGGTGCCTGAAGCAAGGGGCTCAACACGGGCCAGTGCCTGCTTCACATGGGACTTGTCAGAATATGTGTTCAGCAGAAACTCGATTTGCACGGTGCTGGCATAATTGACGAGGCCTACTCGAGTGGCATCAGAGCCAATGGCCAAACTGTCCACCATGTCCACCAGGAACTCCTTGGCTTTTTCAAACTCAGCAGGACGTACACTGCGGGAGCTGTCAATGATGAAAACCAGATCTATTGGTCGATTTCTGCAGTTGGTTCTTGTTGCTTTAAGAAAAAAAATAGCATGTTTTTGTGGTTTTTAATGAAAATCAGTTTATCTTAAGACAAGCACTGCAACAGTTACTGCAAAGTTTTATTTTCAGTCACAAATCAAAACTCATATTCTAGAAATTAAAGGGAAAACAGATTTATTAGTGTTTCAGTTTAGTACCTGCATTAGTTCTGATGGATCCTCTGGAGTCTCCAGCAGGCTTCCAGGATCCAAGCGGTGCAGCTTTGTCTTGCAGCGGTGAAAGCAGCTTTGGACTTTTTTGTAGTGGCTGAGACGTGGAATATGTGCCAGCATCTTTGCCAAGCAACAAAGAAAAGTTAAGAGGGAAAAGAATTAAACCTCTGGCTGCTTTAATTTAGTGCAAAAAGAGAAGAAAAAGCAACGAAACACCAGTCATGCTAAAAATAATTTTCGATGACCTTTTTCTATAAATGATTCTAGAAACGTACAATTTAAGTAGGTAATGAATCTGAGCAAGTCTGAGCAGTTAACCAGTAACTGAAGGGATAAGCAGAATTATAAATTAGTAGAATAGATAAGTGATGATTAATTCGTTAAAACAACTCAGTAAATATATGCCAAAGAGATTAAACCGTTAGCTAATAGTATGTAATAAAAATAAGCGAGTGACAAACAGTGCAGCTAACTGAAACTATGACTGAAGTGAAATTGTGAGAAAAAAAAAGGTATGGCAGTACAGGTAGACAGTTACAAACTAGTTACAAATGAGTTAAACAGTAGATTACCATTTAATAGAAGAAAGGCGTGTTAACCGATAAACTGTTAAACTATACAGAAAAAAAGTTGTTAAACATAAAAGATAAACAAAACAAAGTCGTTTCTTGAACGTAAAATTATTTATTATTATCAAAATATAATGGATAAGCAAAGAAACTGTTAGTTTGTCTAGATAATTAGACAAACAACAGATTGTTAGTAGTAACAAAAAGATTGCTTGCTTTAAAAAAGGTTTTTGGACATATATTTTAAGCACTATTTAAATTCACTTTAGTTTCAAAAGTCACCTACATAAAAAGTAGAATAAAGAAACTATTAAGTTTCAAAAAGTAATCAGTTACAACAAAGTTAATAAATTATCTACTGTTATTGTGAATTTATATTATAAAGAACTATATACAAAGTGAGAGCAAAGGACCATTGCACACTGCGTCCACAGCAGGTGGATGGATATCACGTCCTTCCTGTAAGGTAGTTGTTGGTACCTGCTCGCGCCTTCCGCTGCTCCTGGACTCCTCGGACGGTAAAATCATCTGCCTGGTGCTGGTGAAATTTTTCGTCATTTAGTGCTTCGTCGGAGGTTTGGACAGTAGATCTGTTATCGTCGAGGCGCCCATAGAACTTCGGGGGGACCTGCGGGGACACTCGTGGAATTGGGGGCGTAATGTACGACCGGGGCTGTGAGAAAGTGCCTAAAGATCCCGGTGCCAGGACAACGCCGATAACGCAGACCAGTCCCCACATTAATGAAGCCATGTCTGTTTTCTGCGGTCCTCCTCAGGGTGCCCTCTGGGTGTCCGCTGCTACAGCTGGATGTAACGTCTTTATATGATCTGCTCCACGACCCATAGGGCGTGGGGAACCGGAGGCCCAATCCATATAGGAGGGCGGTTTCAAAGCAAAAGCTGCTCTTAGTTTCCTGTAACAGTGCAGTGGAACATAACGTGACAAAATAAAATAATCCTACTAATTAATTAATTACATATAAATGTGGGAAATATATGAAAATGCATAGAATATTATAAATATTATTTTGAGAAATACCAAAGAAGAAAATAAAAAATACAGATTAGGCGTTTGTATAATGTATAATATCATTCTTACTTCTTTTGACTTAAGGAATTTGATTTGAGTTCGATAGCTTAATCCTCACATCTTTCACCGAGTTGATCAGGTGCCATGATCCTCACTTTCAATACTGAATGTAACAGAAACAGTTTTTGCAACATTATTGAAACAGCGCTCTAGCTATAGTGAATGATAGCATTTCTAGTGATTGGTTTCATTAAAGTAAAAATGATTGTACTATTAGGCATATAATTCTCAATGAGGGCTGTTATATGAAACATGCTGCCCTCTCATGGGTTGCTGTGAAAACTGCACCACATGTTTGGATCAGTAATGTAGTCTTTCAATTAAAAAAAACTTGAAACCTAGTCTTAATACCTTTGGATTACTTAGAATTTGAGCTCTGCATATGTTTTTTCTTCTTCACAAAATATCTTGGATGCAAATCAAATGCATTTTGCATCTCCAGCAATTACAGACACAAAAGCAAGTTCCACAGAAAAATAACTGTTTGCAACAGGTGATATTTAAAAGAAAAAAAAAAGTGTCCTGCCAATTCTCCAGAATAGCTTTAATGAGCCTTGGCACAGATTTTCTGAATCTCTGAGAATCTAATGGAGGAATGAAAACCATTCTTCTGAGCAATATTCCCCTGTTTAGTGCTTTTGTGATGGTGATGGTGGAAAGAAATGTCTAACACATCAATCTGCATTGTCATCCTGAAGAAACCAATCCCATAACAGTGATCACTCAGATATACTGTGTCATCCTTTGCATAAACCTTTTTGATTGGAGAACAGGTGGATGCAAACCATGCAAACAAAAGATCTCTCACAGGGAAACAACAACCCCTCACTGTGCAAAGTAACAGGTTAGGCTTTTCCTTTAAATTGTCATGCACCAGCTTAGTCATAGATATAGATCCCACATCGATATTTAAAGTAAATAAAAAAAATAATACAATGTAAGTGTTACAATCATAATATTGCACTGTTTCATGGACAGGATGTGCTTCAGAAGTCATAAACCAGGTTAGACATTGGTTACGACAAGTACTGCATCAACCAGATGCTGTCAAATATCTTGATACTTGCATACATAGATGCATACAGATGCTGACTCATTGTGACTAGGACTGGGTATCGTCACTGATTTCTGTAATCGATTTGATTCCAATTCAGAAGGCCCCAATTTAATCCGATCCCTGAATCAATTCGATTGTAATTTTGCCTCAGACAGTCAGAAATATTATTATTCTGATCATTTCTCAGTACTGACACTTGTTAGACTTCATCAGAGATATAAACATCACAGCAGATTGTTTCAAAGTAACTGAAGGAAAAGACATCTATGACATCTGTGGAGATGTCGGCCTTGCTGTGAGAGCGACTCTTGAGCTGCTGAAGAATCAGTCAGACCCACGAAGCTGTTTATTACCATCAGAGCCCCAAATGAAGGTGGTGATTGGAGAAAGGTACTCGGAAGTATCGATAGCTGTAGCAAGAATTGTTGCTCTGTCATCAGTTGCCCAGGTTTGTTTTCTATTCATTTGATGCTGTCCTACAAAGCTCAGTTAGAAACACAAAGAGACATTAATAATAATAAGGACCAGTAGAAATGTAATGATTTTAGCAACTAAATCTTTAGATTGTATATCTGTTGAAACTGATGCATTGCAATATATCTTTATGTCTGTTTAACAGATTAATTATGCATCAACTAGTGAGTTTCTCAGCAACAGATTCAAGTTTCCCACTTTTCTGCGAACAGTGCCGAGCGATGAATATCAGGCAAGAGGTATTGTTGAGCTGGTGAAGACATTTCTTTGGCAAACAGTGATTATTGTGGGAAGTGACGATGAGTATGGATTGTTTGGCAGTGATAGCCTTGAAGATACCTTCAGCCAAGACACAAACATCTATGTTGAATTTGTTCAAATCTTGTCAGCTGATTTTATGACAAACAACTCCCAGACCCAAACTGAGCTGAATGAACATACTGGAAAAAATCATAAACTCCTCTACTGAGGCCATCATCCTCTTCACAAAGGACACTAATGCAGAAATCATCCTGGAAGCAGCTATTGAACACAGAGTCAACAGAACGTGGATTGCAAGTGATGCATGGTCCAGCTCTCCAAAGATCTCTGCAATGTCAGGCATCGAGCCGGCAGAAGAAGTTTTTGGGTTCATATTTAAGCAGAAAGAGGTGCCTGGCTTTAAAGACTATGTCATCTCGATGTTTAATTGAACTGAAAACGCCCTTCTCGAAGATTACCTGACGCAGAATCCACTTTGTTCAAATCAGTCTGAAGAAGAAAGACAATGTCTGAAACAGAGTTTCTTGGCTTCTTACATCGACCAGGATGAATCTTATAGGATCTATTTAGCTGTTCAAGTCATTGGTGAGGGGCTCAGACGCTTGCTGAAGTGTGGCCGCCACCAGTGTGAACATAGCCCCAAATTCACAGCCTCAGAGGTACAGTAAAGATAGCTTGTTGATTATCAATTGTTTGTCTTTGACAAATCATTTTTATACATTTGTCCCTAAAAAGGATTATATAATAAATTTGCTTGATTTTCAAGAGTATCTGGTATCTGCAAAAAAATAAGGATAAATAAAATCAGTCTCCCGCTTGTTGGGGAGAAGAGAGTGAGAAGTTTAGCAGCAAACCTCTATAAAGTACAATTAACCAACTGCTAACAGGTGTGTTGCCTCCTGAGCCCCACCTCCACTCTCCCTATCACATACAAAAAACCAGGAAGAGAACTACACAAGCATATCCCTGTATAGAAACGTATGCAATATATTTTTCAAAGAGCACCCTTAAATTTGTCATCACATTCATGGCTTTAAATGGTTTGAAACTCGCTGCTGATCATTGTTTAATGTCCTGAGATTTTGGGAACTTAACTTCTTGCCAGAAGTTACCAATATTTCTGTTATTTCTGCAGAACCTTTTCCTACTAACAGTAAAACAAGAAACTGTTTCAAACTTTATATTTTAGTTTGTAGAAAAGTTTGGTTGATTTACAATGTTTTATCTCTACAGTTTCTCTCAGAAATCCAGAGAGTCAACTTTAATGTGAGCACCACACACGTATCCTTCAATAGTGATGGAGATCCTAGGATGGGATATGATATCGTATACTGGAACATGTCTGAATTCAAACAGGGTGCAAAAATAGAAACTACTGGGAAATACAGTCCAGATGGAAAAATTTAAATCCCATTATATCTTTTCAAAGACCTGATAAATGACACGGTGAGAGGACAACTAACATGAATTTATTTCCCAACATAATTTATATCATGTAGTAATGCAATTGTTTCCTTTTAAGGTGTCCGCTTACAACTGCTCAAACCTGTGGAGCAGGATACGAGTTTCAGAGGGGAAGTGTTGTCAACGTTGTGTTGCATGTGTGATTGGAGAGTTTTCCCCTGGAAAAGGTATGATGATGATTATGCTGTGCTTAATAATCCTATATAGTCACATCAATGCAAAGTTATGATACTTATTTGCAAGAATTACATAACATCATTCTCACAGTAAAGTAATAATGTCTGCTGACTTTTGAATAGTTTATTACCATTTGGACACTGGTTTTATTAATACCTGAGCAATAAACCTTTGAAATTCAGTTTTGCCATATAAACTAGTTCAAACACAAGACACAGAAACTAAAACAAAGATAAAGGTACTTCTAAGAAAACAGATTTGCATGTAAACATTGTTATTGCTCTTTTAAAAAAAAAATCCAATAACAATTATAAAGTTGATTATTACCATAAAGTACTATAGTGCTTTTATTAAAGCGATCGTAGCTCAAGAGTTGGCAGTTTGTCTTGTAATCGGAAGGTTGCCGGTTCGAGCCCCGGCTTGGACAGTCTCGGTTCTTGTGTTCTTGGGCAAGACACTTCACCGTATGGCCTACTGGTGATGGCCAGAGGGGCCGATGGTGCGATATGGCAGCCTCACTTCTGTCGGTCTGCCCCAGCTTGCCTTACATTCACTTTCATTGACAAACCTACTCAGAACTTAAACTGCGTAGGTTTGCCGCTCTTTGGTATAGTCTTTACCCTCTGCATCTCTTGCATTCTGGCCAACTTGTTTCAAATCTTGTTGGGCTTCAACTTTGATCTGACGATTGGGCCCTGGATAAAGAAGCTAAATCAACCACTGGTGCTTGTGACTGTTGTCTCTGGGATCCAGGTGGCCGTATCAGTGTCATGGCTGATCTTCAACTCACCCACTCCTCAAGAGATCCAAGTGGGCAAAACAATTCTGCACCAGTGTGAGATGACGTCCTTTGGGTACTTTTCAGCCATGTTAGTCTACAATGGTTGCTTGGGCCTTACTTGTTTCCTTTTTGCATTCAAAGGTAGACAGCTGCCAGATTTGTATAAAAATGCTTCTTTAATCACTATCAGTATGATGCTGTTCATGGTTATCTGGATTATCTTCCTCCCACTTTATCTCACCATGTCAGGGAAGTACAAACCAGCAATAGAAGGTGCAGCAATCCTTACTTCCTGCTTCAGCATCCTCTTCAGTCACTTGGCTCCCAAGTGTTTTATTATCTTGTTCAGGAAAGAGCTTAACCAAGAGAGCGCCATCACTGAGTACATTTGGAAGCATTATGAGTGGAAGGGTTTACCTGTGATTGGCACACAACACTGATTTGCAAAGAAATAAATCTTGGGTTCATGTGAGATTCCCTGGCAGTTTATGGGAAGACTGTCTGTTCACCTCATTGGCTAATGAGTTGCCGCAAGGGCAATATACCCTGTTTTAACCTTTCTGAC